TAATCAAAAAATCAAAAAACAGTAGATGTTGGCACGGATGTGGTGACCAGGGAACACTTCTGCACTGCTAGTGTGAATGTAAACTAGTACAGCCACTATGAAAAACAATGTGGAGATTCCTTAAAGAACAAAAAGTAGAAGTACCATTTGATCCCACAATCCCACTACTGGGTGTCTACTCAGAGGAAAAGAAGTCATTATATGAAAAAGATACTTGCATATGTATGTTTACAACAGCACAATTCACAATTGCAAAATTGTGGAACCAACCCAAATGCCCATCAATCAATGAATAGATAAATAAACTGTGGTATGTATATACAATGGAATACTATGCAGCCATAAAAAGGGATGAATTAACACCATTCACAGTGACCTGGATGAGACTGGAGACTATTATTCTAAGTGAAGTAACTCAGGAAGGGAAAACCAAATATTGAGTGAGAACACTGTATAAGAACATTCTCATTGTATGAGAACATTCTCACGGATACGTGAGAGCTAAGCTATGAGGACACAATGGCATGAGAATTATACAATGGATGTTGAGGACTTGAGGAGAAGAGTGGGAGGGAGGCGAGGGATAAAAGACTACAAATATGGTGCAGTGTATACTGCTTGGGTGATGGGTGCACGAAAATCTCACCAATCACCACTAAAGAACTTATTCATGTAACCAAATACCACCTGTACCCTCAATAACTTAGGAAAAAAAATAGATGGTCTGGATAAAGAAAATGTGCTACACATACACCATGGAATACTATGAAGCCATAAAAAGAATGAAATCATGTCTTTTGCAGCAATATGGATGCAGCTGGAGGCCTAATTTATCCCAAGCAAATTAACACAGGAACAGAAAACCAAATACTGCATATTCTCACTTATAAGTGGGAGCTAAACATTGAGTACACATGGATACAAAGATGGGAATAATAGACAATGAAGACTGCTAGAGGAGGAAGGGAGGGAGGAAGGGCTGAGGAACTACCTACTGAGTACTGTGCTCACTGCCTGGGTGATGGGATCATCCATACCTCAAATCTCAGTGTCACACAGAGTTCCCATGTGACAGACTGTACATATATCCCCTGAATCTAAAATAAAAGTTAAAATTATTTTTAAAAATAAATACATAAAATAATAGGCTTTATTGCCATTATTAAAAGACATCCCAACTCCTTACGAAAGAGAAGCTAAATAGTGTCTGGCTTAAGCTTTCATGGAAGTCACAAATCCTGGGAAACATACATCTCACAGCAGTCACGGAGCTGTATACCACACCTCCAAAACAAAAGCTAGGACCCCAGCAATAACTTACACTACTATACAGTTTCTCCTGTCCCACACATTGCCTCCCCCAACCCCACAACCATCATCTTGAATCACATGTGTCATTCCTTTGCTTTTATTTTGATGTAGTTTTCTTGTATCTAGATGTACCCCTCTAAAAGCACATATTTGATTTTAGTTGCTTTTAACTGTCCTTTTAAAAATTCGTATGTAATTTTCCTGCTAATGAGATAAAAAGTTTAGCATGTTCTCATATGTTTTCCTTCTTCCTCTCTGCTCCCCCACCCCATTAGCTTGTTATAATCTAGACATTTAATTATATGAATTATATGTGTTATAGATATATTTTCCATTTTTCTTTGGTCTCAAATATTTTTCCAAGCAACAAGAAACGCTATTTGATCACCTTTATTTCATAAATTTCTTAGAACACACACCTTTTTTGTCATTGCTTTTCTTTCTTTTTCTTTCCCCCATGTCATTGCTTTTTTTATTTCAGTAACTCATTCAAAATTTGTCTTCACTTTGGAACTTGGTGAGGTAAACCTTCTGAAATCTTATATACAAGCAGTCCTTATCCTCATTATGCCTAATTCTGGAAGATGCAAATTTCAGTTACTGCAATTTAGTTAAATAACAGCAGACTCCAACAATAATGGTTCAATTTCAGTTAACACAGTATAGTATTATAAGTGTGATTAATTACACACAAAAAAATTTTGCCCTCTAGTCTTCAATCACCACGTAAATAAGAGATGCTTCATGAGCAGTGACCATCCACACCACTCTTTCAGAGTCTGTTGGCGATCAGTCACTGCGTATCTGTTAATCCGGTCAAGTGAAAACAGCAAAGCATGTAGCTGTGTTGCCTCATTGTCTCCCAGTGATAACCAACCTCAAACGATGTTTTTGCAAAACTGGATAATCAAATGAGGGAACTGGCTAACAAAGATGAAACTGCAACAGAAATAAAAAGTGACAAGTCTGAAAGTGAAATTGGATGTGATTATAAGATTTGAGGATGGCAACAGCAAAGCAGAAAATGAGAACTAGGTCTGCAGGATGGTACAGTATGAACCACGTTGAGGATGTCTGATAAATACAAAAAACGAGATAAAGTCATATCAACAAATTTTAGTTAAAATTGTAGTAGGAACAGAAAGCCACTTATCATTGAAATTGAGCATTTACTTCTAGTTTAAAGATTTTAAAAAACAGTTCCAATAAGTTGGCAAGCATCCAAGGCAAAATATGAAATTAGATACCACATGGAAAACAAACAGTAATTACAAGGAGAATGAAGATCAAGTCTGCTTTCGCCATTTCAGAAATTAGCATGAATTGATTAATATTAAACTATCTGTTGAAGCTACTATTGCAAATAAAAATGTTGCTGTAAAATCTGCCCTCAAATCCTGAGAAACAGTTAAGGCAGATGGTTATAATGATTTGGAAGGGAATATCATCAAGAACTTAGGCAAAAAAAGAAAGAATCACAAAGTGGCCAATAAGGAGTAAAATAGATTAACTACTTTTATTAGGAAGTAATTTATACATCATAATTTATATGAGGAAAAGAAAGCAAGTATTATTCAAACTACTCTTGATACTTTTTAATTATGATTTTTAATTGACAAATCACAATTGTATTCATAAGGGACAATGTGATGTTTTAATAAATTTTACAATGTGGAACCACTAAATAAAGATGATTTACATATTTATCACCTCACTCATTTTTCTGCAGTGAGACACTTGAAATTTACTTTATTAGTATTTTGAAATATATTATACATTATCATTGACTGTAGTCACCCTAATATGCAATAGAACTCAAAATTTATTCATCCCATCTATCTGAAACTTTGTATCCTTTAATCAAACAATTCAGAGATATAAAAAATATCATATTCTTGATATTTTTCACAAAGAAATATGTTAATTCTCAATATTTCTAAGATTTAAATCATAATGTACTAAATAAATACTAGTTTTACTTTTTCATTTCCTAATACATTTATGAGTAAGAGGGTTTTTAATGTTTTGACAAAACTTTCTGAAGGACATGGAACAAGTCCCAGTTTTCTGATTAATTATTAATATAGCTTTGCATGGTTTCAGCAAAACCTTTTTAGTCCTGCATTACCATGTAAACTGAGGAGTGCCTTTACTTGGAAACATTTTTACCATGCCCACGCATCTGAATAACAGTTTGGTGGATATAAAATTCTGGATTCCAAGTTTTCTTCCTTTAATAATTTGAAAATCTTATATGGAGAACAGGACTTTGCAGATATGATCGTGAGAAGGGGGGGTTATCCCGAATTATCTGGGTGGGCACTAAACGTGACCACAAAGGTCTTTATGAAAGAGGCAAAAAGGCCAAAGAAGGAAGAGGTGATGTGATGACAGAGGAAGGGGAAGGAAAGGTGGCATGAGTGAAATGATGCCCAAGGTTGCAGCAGCCTCCAGAATGCAAAAGAAGTGAGGAATTGATTCTTCTTCACAGATTTTAAAAGGAACAACTTTGCCAACACCTTGATATTAATCATTTTGGACTTCTGACCTCAATAATTTTAGGAGAATAAATTTGTGTGGTTTTGAATCTGTGGTGATTTGTTACAACAGCAATAGAAAACTAACAGCACTCAACAAAAATTGACTGGAAAGTTGAATGAATGTAGAATAGCATCACATATCTGTACATCCAAATATAACACCTCTCAGCTTCCCCTCCTCAAACAGAAACTTAGAGCCAGTTGAAGTGTCCCCTGGTTCTTTCGGGGAGTTCTCAACCGATGCTATATACATGTCCCATTAGTATAAAGTCATGATGATGGAAATGGTGCAGACCTGACCAACTACAATTCAGCTCGTTCCATTTCTGGCTCTGATCAGTGACTCAAACCTAGTTGAGTGGGTAGGATGAGAGAGGTGCCACCTTATTCCCTTTAGTTTCCTCCTCTTCTTACACCCTGCCCCCAACCCAGTTCCTCTGTTCTCCTCTGCCTGCAAAATAAAAGCCTCAGCATTTCAATAGATGCAAACACACACTGCTGGGAAATTTTGGTGAGGTAATTGCCAACTTCAAATAAACAAAAATGTTTTTACACACATACACACACACACACACACACACAGGCACACAGGCACACATACACACATGCACATGCAAACACACAGAATGAGAGACAGGACCACAATGCTATCAATAATTGTTTACTCAGACTTATAAAATTTTGATTTTCTTTTTGCTTGACTACATTGTCATTTTTCCATAGTGAGTATAAATCATTTGTAAGATAAGTAAATAAAACTTTAAAGCAAAATATTTTAATCAGTTAAACCTAGTTTTAGAAGGACTATGGAGTTGCTGCCAAGAGCTAGACAAACACATAGAGACACGAGAGGAATGTAGATTCCAATCACTGCAGCAAAGAGACTGAACACAGAGTGACAGAAGTTAGCTAACGTGATGGCTAATTTTACATGTCACCTTGGCTGGATTAAGGAATGCCTAGAGAACTGGTATAGCATTACCTCTGGGTGTCTGTGAGGGTGTTTCCAGCAGTGACTGGCATGTGAGTCAGTGGACTAAGTGGGGAAGATTCACCTTCAATGTGGGCAGGCACCATTCAATCAACTGGGGACCTAAATAGAACAAAAAAAATGAAGAGAAAAGAACTTTCTCTTACTCTCTCCTAGAGCTGAGATACTCTCCTCCTACTCTTGGACATCAGAACTCTAGGCTCTCCAGACTTGGAACTCCAGGACTCACAACAGTGACCTCCCAGGTGTTCAGGTCTTCAGCCTTGGACTGAGAATTACAGTATCGGTTTTCCTGATTCTGAAGCTTTCAGACTTGGAATGAGCCACACTATCAGCATCCTAGGGTCTTAAGCTTGCCGATAGCCTGTTGTGAGACTTCCCTGTCTCCATAATTATGTAACTCCATTCCCCTAATAAATCTCTTATCTAACTGTCTATCTTTCTATCTAGCTATCTACCTACCTACCTACCTGTCCATCCATCCATCCATCCATCCATCCATCCAACCATCCTATTGGTTCTCTTCCTCTGAAAATCCTCATACAGCTGCCAACTCAAATTAGGCAACTGAAATTGTTGCTAAGAGGCATCTACATTGCAGTCCTCAATCAATAGAGTGGCAGCGTAGCTACAACAGGGCACTTAGCATATCTGTGAGAGGTGATGTCCTTGTCTCATCATGTTCTTTTGTTAAAAATTCAAGTGTGTGGAGTGAGGGGTTGACTGTTCCTAGATTCAGAATGTTAGTTTGGGCTAATCAAAGTTTTACTGTAATAAAAACAGATTAGAGCTTCTTTTTTTAGACTTACCCAAAATGGTCTCTGCTTTTTGTTTTCTTCTCTTTTGTAAGGTTGGAAGAATCACAAGATTAGGTGACGGTTAGTGCAGAGAGGACCATAACACCGTTTCCAGCGTCCTCTCACCTTTAGGTTTATGGGCAATTGCAGATACTCATTGTGGACAAGAAAGAAAATCAAGGATGATCGGGCAATTTATAGCCACTGCTCAGCACACAGTCTGTATGTGTCTTTGATGAAATGTTTGCGGTATTTTGGTAAAGTAACAGTTTTAACAAAATAAGGGTTAATATTTCCTATACTTATGAAAAAAAGATGTTTCTGCCTATGACTAGTGACAAATACAGCAACAGGATTTACTTGTTCAATGAGATTGAGATTTCTAGGAAATTTGCGTGGTTAATGCTTCTATAAAATTCAGTTCCCAAGTGTCAAAGAGTCAGCTTCCTAAAAAGGTGAGTCAAGTTGTGCAACCTTAGAGAATCACTGGGAAATAGTCAAACTCTTAGAACATGGAAAATCCACTGAGCTGTTTTACTTTCTTTACTCCTTTAAAAAAATGGAATGCAAATATTTCCCCCTTGCATCCAAGGACAGGAAATGAGTAAAAACCACATAGATGGAAGTTGTTGTCAGGGTTCTAGTTTCATGTTAGGTGGTGGTTTTAGCAATGTGTATTACATTATTGTTGTTATTGTTGTTAGTAACAGAAGTCCTTATATAGACATTTGATAAAAGCATATCATGAATCAAGAATTATGATTAATCTTTTCATGTACCCTGTTAAAAAATAAAATTTCAACCAATTACTTTAAATGTCTAATTGGCTTTTATTAGTGACTCATGAATCAGTCAGCCTCCCAGGTATCAAGAATTATAAATAATTATAATTAATCTCTTTATGTACCCTGTTAAAAAACAAAATTTCAACCAATTTATTTTAAATGTCCAATTGGCTTTTACTAGTGACTCATGAATCAGTCAGCTTCCAATGTAAAAATAGATGGAGGCGTCACTGGACAGGGCAGAACAGTCCGTTTTGTGAGATAGCTTGCGAAAGAACAGGAAACAGAAAATCACGAAAAATAAATGTGGGATGGTTAACATCAGGTTACTTCAGGTCACTTTCTTTGCAATGGTTAAAGCAGAGAGGTGTGTTGGCTCAAGGTAACTGGGCCCTTTCTGATTGCCTGCTGTGAATCTCCTATTTTTAGGAAAATCTGGCCTTTGTGGGGTGCAGGGTTGTGGATTATCTTGCTTCCTCAACGTTGCAGTTTGATTATGTGGCAATTAGCATGAGTGACTGCATTTTGGTTTGGTCTGCTGGGATTTAGTGCAGGAGCTCAGTCTAAAACAATGGCCTCCTATAAATGTGATTTAACAAACCCCTGCTTTTGGTCAGGCTCTCACCCAGATGAGACCTAGGGCATCATTGCTACACTTAGTGATCATCACTCTGGATTTTCAGTCTCAACGCATTATTCACAGGTTAGGGTGTCCTCATTGTTACACATTTCTGTGAGCTTTTGTCATTCTGGCTGTAGAGAGACTATTTGGCATTGGGTGGATGACTGCATGCAGGAATTTAAGACTTTTGAGAGCATGCACCAGAAAGACTATTATTCTGACTATCCCATCCTAGGCCTGACCCACCCAGAAAACATACAAACTACAGCAAGTACATATTGATAACCCATACTTGGTAGGAGTTAAATGGAATCTAATTATAAATGCTCAAATGGGCCTGATGGACAGGAGTCATCCCAGGAAGAACAGAAAGGGATTTCCGAGGCTTCAGAGATTGGCAGATTAAGCATTGATTATAAATAGCTTTTGCAATTTTATGACAGTTTCCTCACCAATACCTACTGATTCTTTGTATAATGGCATCTTACCAATACCATTATGGGTAAAGAAATGTAAGGAGCCTAACCAAGTTCTCTTAAGGAAGTCTGGGAACACCATGTAATCCTCCTAGTTTTGCCACAGTTAGGAAAGGAAATTAAAATAGCATCCCTCTCATTGCCAATATTCTTTTTCATCCTTAGGAACATTTTGTTTCCCATAGGCAATAATGGCTGGGTGTAAGGAGGCAAAGTCAGGTAGCAGGGAACATGCTTTATGGCAGGGATCCCCAAGCCCTGCTTAACCAGTCTGTGGCCTGGAGTTTGAGGACCCCTGCTATAAAGCATGCTCCCTGCTACCTGGACCAGCAACTGGTCCTTGGCCCCTTAGGAACTAGGCCACATAGCAGGAGGTGAGTGGCAAGTGAGCAAGCGAAGCTTTATCTATATTTACAGCCACTCCCCATCACTTGCATTACTACTCAAGCTCTGCCACCTGTCAGATCCGCAGCAGCATTAGATTCTATTAGGAATAAACACCCTATCATGAACTGCACGTGCGAGGGATCTAGGTCGCGCGCTCCTTATGAGACTCTAATGCCTGCTGATCTGAGATGGAGCTGAGGCAGTGATGCTAGTGATGCTAGTGCTGGGGATCAGCTGCAAATACAGATTAACATTAGCAGAGAGGTTTGACTACACAAAGACCCTAATAAATCAATTGCTTGCAGACTCGTATCAAAACCCTATCGGTGAGTGGCAAGTGAAAATTAAGCTGCATCTGGTGGCAGCCTTTACAATGGCAAGTGAGTTGAGTGCATCTGGCAGGCTTTAAGTCAGAATCTGACACTTACTGAACTCCACTTGTGGTCCGCCCATTATTTTATTCACCAATTTGGTCCGTGACACTTTCCCGCATTGAGCACTCATCTTAATCACAGTTTTGGTAAGCCCACAAGCCAACTGTAGCCAAAGTGAGTTAAAAAAAAAATGTCACTGGAGAGCTTATTTGAAAAGGGGAAAGACCCAATGATGAGACAGCAGAAGACTAAGACTGGGCAAAGAGAAAGCTGCATTTAAAAGAAAATACCAAGAGTCCTACTTAAATTACAGGTGTATTGCAACAGGTGATTCACATTCTCCAAGCCCACTATGTATAATATGTGGCAACCAACTATCTAACAAAGCCATGAAACCTTCAAAACTGCGTTGCCACATACAGACAAAGCACCCTGAATTAAAAGGTAAGCCTCTGGAGTTTTTCAAAAAGAAAAAATAAACATGAACACAAAGAACAGAAGGAATTATTGAAGGACACCACTTCATCAAATGTGTCTGCACTGAGAGTATCATTCTTAGTGGCTAGCTGTATCGCTAAAGCTAAGAAGCCCTTTACTATTGGTGAAGAATTGATCCTGCCTGCTGCTAAGGACATACGTCATGAACTTTAGGAGAGACTGCAGTTCAAAAAGCGGCATGTCTTCCTCTTTCGGCTAGCACAGTAACTGATGAATTGATGAAATAGCAGAGGATGCGGAGGCATAATTGTTAGAATTCATGAGTCTCCGTGGTACACAATCCAGGTTGATGAGTCTACCGATGCTGACAACAAGGCAACATTTCTTGTTTTTGTGCACTATATTTTTCAGGAGGATGTGCATGAGGATGTGTTATGTGCACTTTCATTGCCAGCCGACACGATGACCACAGAACTATTCAAGTCTTTGACTTATTACATATCAGGAAAACTGAAATGATAATTTTGTATTGTGTATGCACAGATGAAGTGGCTGCCATGACTGGATGGCTTTCTAGTTTCACTACTAGGGTCCAAGAGGTTACTTCTGAATGTGAATCTACGCACTGTGTCATAGAGAAATGGTGGCTAGCTGAGAAACATCACCTGAACTTAACATTTTGCAGCATGAGATTAAATGATCAACCACATTAAAGTACGTGCCCTTAACTCATGTCTGTTTGTGCAGCTCTGTGAGGAGATAGACGCAGAGCACACAGGCCTTCTCTTACACACAGAAGTGAGATGGCTTTCTAAAAGTAGATTTCTGGCTAGAGTTTTTGAATTACAAGAGCCACTCCAAAGATTTCTTTTAGAAAAACAGTAACCGCTGTCAGCACATTTCAGTGACACAGTACGGGTTGCAAAACTTGCTTACTTGTGTGACATATTCAACCTGCTCAACAAACTCAATCTGTCACTTTGGTGGAGAATGACAACTGTGTTCAAATTGGCAGATAAAGTGACTGCATTCAAAGCCAAACTAAAATTATGGGGGCGACGAGTGAACATGGGGATTTCTGACATGTTTCAAACCTCAGGAGAGATTTTGAAAGAGGCTGAGCCAGGGCCTTCTTTTTTTCAGATAGATGACCTATTTCAGATTTCAGAAGAGTCTGAGCATTACTTGCCAACCACAAAAGACCCCCAAACTGGGAAGGAATGGATCTGTGACCCGTTTGTGAATAAGCCAGGTGAACTGACTTTGTCCATGCTAGAAGAGGACCAACTGCTTGACACTGCAAAGGACAGTGGCCTTAAAAGTATGTTTAAGACAACTTCAAATCCTAATCATCAAGGTAGAATATTCTGCAATTGCCACAAAAGCACTGAAAAGCCCGCTTCCATTTCTAACATCCTATCTTTGTGAAGCAGGGTTTTCTGCAGTGACAGCAACCTGAACGAGGTTACAGAATAGATTGAACATAAGCAACACACTTCTGCTGTCATGGTCTTCCCTCACCCCCAGATAAGGCCATCTAGTTGCAGGAAAACAAGCTCAGGGCTTTCATAGATTCTGCATTACTGTGAGCTGTATAATTATTTCATTATATATTACAATGTATTAATAATAGAAATAAAGTTCACAATAAATGTAATGCACTTGAATCGTTCTGTAACCACACCTCCACCCCATCTGTGAAAAAACTGTCTTCCGTGAAACCAGTCACCAAAAATGTTGCGGACCACTGCTTTATAGTTTTTAGCTGAAGGATTTAGATAACAGACCACACAGGGTTGACTATTATTTTTGGCATGAAAGCTGGGTAGAGCATCTTGCTGATATTCAGGCTTCTTTGTAGAAGCCTGTTTTTTTTATGACAGCAATCTCTTTAGACAGCAGTACAGCAGTAAGGAACTCATGAACATG